TAGGCGGTTTTATGGATGAAGAAACTGAGGCTGGAGACAGTAAACGACCAGCCCAGGGCTTGTTTGGCCAACTGGGTTGAGGGAGCCCTTTGCTGCAGGATGCGAGGGGAAGAATGGGCTGGTTGAGTTAAGGCAAAGAATGTCTTCATTCAGCCAACACATTTTTATTGAGCACTCACGGGGCGGGCGGGGGCGGGAGACCCAGGGAGAATAAACAGGCAGTCCCTGCCCTCCCAGGCTGTGGGCGCAGACAGTAAATAACTGTGCAGATGACAGACGATGACAGGGCAGGGGGCGGGGACCTGGGCCAAGTGCCCTGGGGAAGGTATGGAAGATGTGGGCACCGACTAGGAGGGCTGCCCATGAAAATGGTATCTACGATGAGGCTTGAAGCCGAAGAAAGGGAGAAGGAAGGGGGCCAGGGGAGGCGGACAGAGCCAGGGTGTCCGGTGTCCCGGGAGGACAGTGTTGAGAGGAGAGAGGAGTGTCTCCTTGTGATCCTCTCTCTCTCTCTCTCTCTCTCTCTAGGCCTTGGACCTGCCCCAGCCCCATGCCGCTTGGGTCCCTGCTGCCACTTTGGGAACCTCCAAGATGAGCTGCCTAGTTTTGCCGCCTTCACCCCTCCGCTGCCACCCCTTCTCCCTGCCAACTGGGCCCGCCTCTCTGGGCCCTTCCTGCCCCCGCCCCCCACGGAACAGCAGCTCCTGGGGGCCTCCAAGTTAGAGACCCTGCTCCCAGACCCCAACTGCTCCCCGGGGGCCCAGCATCTCCCAGGGACCACCCTGGTGTCAGGGCTGGGACAAGGGGCCGGCGAGAGGCTTCAGCTCTTGCCCCTTGTGCCTGAGAGGCTTGAGGGAAAGCCTGACCCCACAGTGGGGCCAAAGTGGAGCTGGGGTCCCCAGGAGAGCTTCTCCCCAGAGGCGGCGGGACTCAGAACGGGGGAGGAAAGCCCTGTCTCCCCCAGTCTGGAGACTTTCAAAGCAGTATGGCCCTTGGATCCTCCTTAATTGGAAAGGGTGAGGTGAAGCGGTGGGGGGTGTCCCCTAACTCCATCCCTTCCCTTTTCCAGCACCCTCTGGCTTTGCACTTTCCAGCCCCCACCCCTGGCAACACTCGGGCCTCCATGGCAGGAGAATTTAAAGAAGTGGAGATGGACCCAAGACAGGGCCAGCGGTGGGGGCTGCGG